TAACAAACGTAAAGATGGAGAATTTATCAGTCAATTGTCACAACTCTTGATGCTGCAGAACCTGGCAAATCTGAATATTTTTAAAAGCATCATTGGTAGTTTTAGGCGCTATTAAGTGTCAATGATAGGGCAATGCTGCTGGGTGCTTAAAACACTTATCACAGAATGTGTATCTTGCTCCCGATCTAGTGGAGGGGGAAACGGCAGTGCCTCTGTAATTAATCTTTTTATTGACACTAGATCTTTATCTAAGAAAAGTTTAATATCTGAAAGGAGTTGACAATGACCATGATATGCTGATATATGGAATTTAAAATGCTTTTCAGCTATTTGAATCAAGAATAAGACGTGTCTACATTGTTAAGAAGAATCTCTGTCAGATAATGTTACAATTTAATATCAAGCATTAAACAAAAAAAATCTGCTGCTCAATATCATCACTTAAAAAGCACTGCAAAAGGACTTATGACAAAGAAAGTATCCATAAATAGACATTCACAAGACAAATATGTATTAATGAACCATTTATATACATAAAACATTTTGGTAATTGCTAATATCATTAATGCCATGAACCTTAATACAAAATTTGACTGAGGCAATTGCGTTTCTCAGTTACAATCCTACGTGCCATGTCCTCTTGCTTGCTAACCGTTGCGTAATGCAACCTTCATGAAAACTTATGAGCACACATACAGTCACTTTTTGTCCCACTTCGAAGTCTTCTAGATTCTAGAAATTGGGCACATCTTAATATCTTCCATTTTCTCAATCATAGTTAACTTGTTGCCATACATTCATCAGAGGATTTCTTTACAGTACAATTGTGTCATGTGAGACCCATATAATCAGTACGAATAATAACAAGGAGGTACCTCTACTTTTGGACAAAATTAGTCTAATAAGAAAGTCTAGGGATAATAGGTCGCTAATCCCTCACAGATGCATCTTGATCAGTTAACCCAATAATGAATTTTGGTCTATGTCCAGTGAGAGGCAAAATGAAGGTGGTCAAGAAGATTCCTCATCTTTTAGTACCAAGTCCAATCACCAAACCACTATACTACTACTTAACAACTCTTCACTTTCCATATGCTCAGAGAACATACAGTCCTCATGTTAGCATTCATAACAAACATCCACCACATTGATTCAAGCTGCTTTGTGGCGGTGGTAGGTATCAACTTACATTTATAAATATGGTTTCATTGGAGCTCTCCTATGATCACATAGAACTAGAAGGGTTTGAATTTGAGATTTGCAGGAAACGGGTTCAGTTTCCTCCAGCATCTCATCTTCAATGGCTTTACGACATCCACATTTAGAACTCTGGCTAAGGTTAATATTGGGCTTTGAATGTGAGGATTGGAGGCAATCAAATATAATTGCATTTTAACTCTTGGAGCATGCAATTTTGTCTGGTTTCCTCCAATATCTCACCTTCAACTGCTCAACTATTTGCATAATCAAGAATATAAATTGTGTGTGGTGGTATTGAATGTGAGAATTGGTGGAAACTGAACTTGTATGTCTGCTAATATTGGTATTATATGATATGGGTTCAATTTCCTCCGATATCTCACCTTCAGTTGCTCCCTCTATGTTAGTTTTGGGCTAGCTGATGATTTTTCTTTGTTGTGTACTTCATTCAATAAGGTAAGAATTTTTTACGCTCTCAAAGTTGTTTAGTGGCAAAAGTAATTTAATGAAATTTATACTTTATCGTCAAGAGTTTCTGTGCATTCTTTATTCTGTTGTTTGAACAAAATGAGACAGACCATAAAGCTAGCTACCATATCAATAATAACCACAAAAAATCCATAGTAAAAAAACCAACAAACATATTCAAAAGCTGGCCCTGAAAATTCATTATATTTAGTTCATGTAATGCCCCCAAAAAGAATGAATAAACTTTACTTTTACTATAAGAATTTTATGTTTATTGGTTAAATCTTCTATGTTTCTGATCAAGACTGAACTACATATAGGGCCTGTTTGGTTACTTTTTTTTAAAAATGTGCAGTAACTACAGTATTTCGGAATTGAGTGGTCCAGCTGCTGTGCTGACAACTACAGTAACGCGATCCCAATTCCTTGCTTTTTGCTGGGAATTGCTGAGGGTCTGTCAACTAGACTACATTATTGCCAACTTAGCTACAGTACCATGCACATTTTAACAAACCAAGCATAGAGTTGCTTGTAATACTGTAGCACCTGGCACCTACAATATTACAACCCGGCTCCATAAACTGTCAATTATGTTTGTGTTAAGGGACTCCAATAAGAGAATCCTGGATGGTAAGCTGATATATTGGCTGTTGTTTGTCCATGTTGAACGATGCCATTTAATTTGTTTTCTTTCGTCGAGATTAACTTAGTAAGAGAAACTCATATTTTTTTTTTTGTTGGCTTGTTTTTGTTGAATTATCCATTAAAATCCTTGAGAATGTACAAGACATGTACTTACCATAAATAGCCATTAACAAGAAGCAATTAATACACCAAAACAATACGCTCAATTGCTAATATTATTACTAATATTATTAATGTCATTAAACATTGCACAAAAATTTGACTAAGACATTACCTTTCTCAGTTACAATCCTATGAGCTACTCGCAGATTCTAGTAGGAACTTACACCTACAGCATGGATAATCTATTACTTGCTAACCATTGCATGATGCAACATTGATGTAACTTACGAGTATACTCACTAATTGTCACCATTTCACCCAATGTGAAGCTTTCTAGACAAATTGGGCACATCTCAATATCTTCCATCTTCTCAATCTCAATCGTCTTTAGTTGCTGTCTGGGATCGAATGCAAAATACGGATGTCCCTCGTCATCCTCAACCTCTGGTTGTTGGTTCGATACACGTTGATGGCGTGTAACTTTCTTCAAGATCTTCATCAGAAGGAAGAATGTATTTGCGAAATTCTTCATCAGAATGTAGTACATATTCGTCGAATTCCTCATCAGATGATAAACTGTACTCATCGTCAGACGAGAAATAACCAGTGTCTGATGAGAAATATTCATCGTCCATGGTGATGTTTGATTGATGGCCTATTCTCTTTTCTTTCTCTTGTGCTTGAGGTTTCAATATAACCCTAGCAAGTTATTTAGCGAAAGCCACTTACAGTTTGTGTGTGTGTGTTTTACCTGATTGTGTCAAATTTCTAATCCTAATCATGTTTGGGTCATGATCAGATAACAATATCTTCCATTTAAACTGATTGGTGTTGATTAAGCAATTTGTCTGATTTTGAATTCAATTAGGAAAGTACTGAGTTGAACTCTAGAAGTATTTAGACATCTAGAAATATAAGGACATGTGCGTACTGAGCAAAGATGGGTAACAAAACTGAACAGAACAGGGGAACAAAAAGAGAGAATAAACTTAAAGGATAAGCCACTCCTGTAGTCATGTATATAACCCCCAGTGAGTACAACGAAACTGATTGGGTGTCAATTATGTAAATCTTATTTTGATCTCAATATGCAAAATGGTTTATTAAACCTTAGAAATATTTAGAATTCTAAAAAAGGAAACAAGCTCAAACAGAAAAGAAAAATAGAAACACATACTAGAAATAGGTAGTCATAGTCCACATTTCTTGATGCTGAGGATACGAAGCTCTTAAATAAGATAATCGAGTAAACATTTGATGCAAGCTTCACATAATATTTTACAATTTAAATTCAATAACAAAAGATTCCAAGTTATTTAGAATGCAGAACTAAGTTTATTAGCACCTTTTCTTGAAGAAAACACCCAATGGTATTGGCCTATAGCATTGATGATACACTATATGGATGTTTATTTTTTGATTACAGAACTTAAGATATTTTATTCATTGATTCAAGAATTGGGGTCTCTTTGATGCACCACCTCTACACACCAGTACTGGTTCATGTCAAGTACTATTGCTAAAATCAAAGAAATAATCAAAACATTTCTTTAGATTATAATGGTGTTATGTGTCACTCATGCATGTAATCAGTAAAGATAACAAAGATATGATTCTGTATTTAGAATCAAGGAGTCAAAATGCCAATGAAATAGTTTCAGGAATAATAGGCAGCTAACCCCTCACAGTATAAGGATGCATCTTGATCAATTAACCCTTAATAAATTTTTTTATACCCTAATAGGGGAAGGCATGATCAACAGAGAAATTTAAAAAAAGACTATTTTTTTAAAAATAATTAGCAAAATCGACACCTTTTATGAAATATTAGCAAAATCGACGTTTTTTTGGCTACATCATCACGACTGGCCAAAAAGAGGTCGATTTTGCGAAATATGATCTTTAAAATACAGGAGACTACTAATCTCGTATATTCTAAAAGAATAAGAAGAACTCATAATTAGTGAACGCTAATTACACGGGACTAGTACTCCCGTGTATTTTAATGATCATATTTTGCAAAATCGATATTTTTTGCCAGCCGTGATGACGTGGCCAAAAACAGGTCGACTTTGCCAATTCTTTTTTTCCACAGAAGGGTCGATTTTCCTAATTATTTTTGAAAAAAGATATTTTTAAAACATTTGCCCCATGATCAGGTTAAGATGGTCAAGGAGACCCCTCATCTTTTAGTACAAAGTCCTATATAAACAAACCTTTGAACTAGTAATAATTAACGACTCCTCTTCTCTCTCTTTCCAGATGTTCAGAGAGCACACAATTCTCATGTTAGCATTCACAGCAAACATCAAACACTCACTGTTTCAAACTGATCTGTATGGTACTATGTAATACATCTATAAATTTCCCTTCATTATTGCTCTCCATTGATCACTGAGAACTTAGAGGTTTTGAATGTGAGGAAGAGAGGAAACTGAACCTGATTACAAATTGTACATGGGTTCTGCCTCCTCCTCTCCTCTTCAATGATATTACAACATCCACATGTAGAACTCTGGCCAAGGTATATGTTAGGCTTTGAATGTGAGGATTGGAGGCAATCAAGTATCAATGCATTTGAACTCTTGAAACATGCAATTTTGTTTGATTTCCTCCAATATCTCACTTTCAACTGCTCAATTGTTCCATTATCAAGAACTCATATTATGCGCGATGGTATTGAATGTGAGAATTGGGGGAAAGTGAAGCTATGCATGTCTGCTAATTTTGGCAGTATATGTACACATACGAATTCAATTTCCTGCTCCCTCTTTTTTAGTTTTGTGCTAGATGGTACACAGTAGAATTGTTTATGATACCAAAATTGTTTAATTAGTGGAAAAAATATTTTCATGAGAAACTTTTGCTTATTATGTAACGACAAATTCTGTGAATTCCTTCTGTTGTTTATTAAACAAAATATTAGATAGACCATACAGGCCAGTACCATATCAACAATAAAAACTGAAAATCACAAAACCAATAAATACATTCAAAACATGTCCCTCAAATTTTACTAAAGTTTGCAATTGAGATTTTATGTTTATTGTATATATCATCTATTTTTCTGATCAAGCAGAGTACTTAGAATTCTTGTTTTTCTATTTGTTCTAGACTAATTTACTTAAAAAAAACTAATAAGCTTTTGTTTTCTTTTTGTTTGCTGATTTGTTTTGATTGAACTCTTTGTTAAGAACGTACAGCATGGGCATGTTTTCTCGCTTACTAACCAGTGCTCGACGCAACCTTAACGAAACTTATCAGCGCGCTGACAAATTTCCACTTTTTCTTCCAGTTGGAAGTCATCTTGTCAAATTGGACACATCTCATTATCTTCTATTTTTCTTAATCTCAGTTGTCTTTAGTTGCTGTAGAGGGTCAGATAAAAAAAAAAAAATAAAGAGGTCCCTTGTCATCCTGAACCTCTGGTTGTTGGTTTGGTGCAGGTGTGATTACTTGTAACTTTCTTCAAGATTTTCGTCTGAAGGAAGAACGAAAAATTCGTCATCAGAAGGAAGAACATATTCCCCGATCTCATCATCTGATGCCTAGCTATATATACTCATCGTGACGCGAGAAGTAACTGGCAGGAGTTAAGAAAGTATTGCCATCCAAGCTATAGTCAACGAGAAATAATTAATATTCGATCAATGAGAAAGTATTGTCGTTCATGGAAGCGATCGATTGGACGCTTCTCTTCTTTTGTTTTATTTTCTCTTGTGTTGTTTTCATTCCGAAACAAATACGAAATTTTCCATCTTTGTTACTTCATTTTGTAGTATTTAGTGTAGATGATTTCAGTCTGCAATGACACCTTACATACCAAAACATCATGATCAGATTTTTCCATACAGAAGTCAACAGTTTTTGTCTGCATAATGCAATACGGGCCGAGTTGAGGTATTTTGTGACGGATTTTTACCTTCTCATGTTCAAACGGAGTTATGTTTCCGTTATATATATATGTATGTTCAACATCTATATATAAGACAATAAGGATCTAGATGATTTCGTTACAGTACACTGGCGTCGTGTGACACCCATATAATAACTGCAAAATGCTAATTAAAAAAAAAAGTTCTAGGGATAACAGGCACCAAATCACTCATAGTACAGAGAGTGATCATCATCTATTAACTCATAATTAATGTATTTTTGGTTCATATCTCAATAGCTGGAAGAGGCATGCATCAATTTAAGGTGGTTGAGGAGATCCCTCAAAACTTTTGCTACCAACTTCAATCACCGAACCACTGAACAAATAATCAACTCCTCTCTTTTCCAGATGCTCGGAGAGCCAACACAATTCTCATACGTCAGCATTCACAACAAACATCAAACACAAGTTGTTTCAAACTGCTTTGTATATACAGTACTATACGTCAAATGCAACAGTAAATATCCCTTCATAGGAGGAGCTCTCCATCGATCACAAAGAGTTTGAAGGTTTTGGATGCAAACGGGTGCAGGAAACCGAACCCGGTTACAAATAACAAACGGGTGCCGTTCCTCTCTTACTCATCTTCAATGGCTTCACAACATAAACATCCAGAATTCTGTGTATGGGTCTTTGGACGCAAGGATGGGAGGCAGTCACATATAACTGCATTTGGGCTCTTGGAGCGTGCAATTTTCTCTGGTTTCCTCCAATATCTCGCCTTCAACTGCCCAATTGTTCCATCATCAAGAGTTTGCATTGTTTGTGATGGTTACACCCTAAGGTTCCGTTTGGCAAAGGGTTAATGAAGAGGGGTTAAAAAGAAAGATTAATGTACTTAGTCCATTTGATAATCCGAAGGACTAAATTATTAACCCGTTAAATAAGTTTTATTTTAGCCCTTATGATCAGTTTTAGTGTTTGGGAATAACAATGATTTTGACTATTTTCTTTATAATTAGAAGGGTTAACTCTTATTCCATCTAAATAGGAGTATTAGTAAACCTCTCATTTTGAGGGGTTAACTCATTTTAACCCCTCTAGAGGGGTTAACTTAACCCTTCTATATTTTTTATGTTGGCAAATTATGGAGGGTTAACTCACTTTAACCCTTATATAGATTTATTGTGTTTGGCAGGTTAAGAAGGGGTTAAGTCTCCTTAACCCCTCATTTAACCCTTTGCCAAACGGTACCTAAAAATATTATGAATGCCACGTCACCACCCTCGTCCTTCTACGTGATCAACACGTGAGTGGTGGAGGGAAAATGACTATAATCTCCCATTCTCTCCATAAGAGGGGTCGGGCGATGAATCCTAGCTAACTAAGGGACAGTGGCGGATCCACAACCTCTCGTGTGGTGGTTCAAAATAAACGCTAATTTTTTTTCCAGATGCTATTAAAGAAAGCATAAAAATTAGGCTAAACAAATAATAGTAAAGAGAAAAAAAAACTTAGAGAAGCAAAAATAAGGATAATAGGAGAAAGTAGAAATATAAAGAGGCTTTTGGGAGGTTTTGAACCTTTATTTGACCTCTTTTATGTAAGCAAATGCTTATACCACTGGGCTGTAAATTACATTTGTTTACAAACTGATATGTATAATATATATATACTATTTAAAAATCTGAGGTGGTTCAAATGAACCACTTTGAACAAGAACAGGTCCGCCACTGCTAAGGGAGCTCGAGAAAGACCTAACTTGGGGACCTAACCTCCTGTTGTCATAAAACCATTAGCTAGAGGAGATTATTCCTCCGTACTCATGTCTGACATCTGCACCATTCTCCTTTTGGTAAATAAAGAACAATGATCCTTTCAAAACTGCATCGCTCTGATCCATGTAGTGGGGACACTGAATCTGTCGCCTACTATTCTCCAATCGCAACCGTTTATTCCTCTATAGAAGAAATGAATAGTTGTAACTTTTCCATTTTTATTTGTATACAGTAGCTAGGAAATAATTTAGTTGAGTGCAAAATTCACGGTTTTAATGAGCTATAACTCATGAATTTTATCCATTTTCATCCCTTTCGAGCCAATTGAGAATAATTTTGTGGAGTTTAAAATTCAGCATTTCAAGGGGAATTTTTATACATTTTCGTTCATTTCCACCAAGTAGCAAATAACTAATTTGAGTTCAAATTAAAAAATTTTAATCAGCTATAACTAACAATATTTTCTCATTTTATTTGTTTCGATCCAATTGAAAATAATTTTATAGAGTTACAAAATTCACCATTCTTGAGTAACAACCCATACTTTTTGTCCATTTTCATTTGTTTCCATCAAGTAGCAAATAATTAAGTTGAGTTTAAAAATCATGATTTTTTCATGATATATAACTCACAATTTTTTTTCCCATTTTTCTTCATTTTGACCCATTTAAAAATAATTTTATGGAATTTAAAATTTACTATATCTTGAGTAAGAATATGTGTTTTTTTAATCCATTTTCATTCATTTCCACCAAGTAGAAAATAATTAACTTTAATATTCATCATTTTCATGAGGTATAACTTATGATTTTATCAATTTTTGTTCATTTCGACCCAATTGATAATAATTTATATGGTTTAAAAATATTCATTCCATGACTAATAACCAAAAAATTTTGTCCATTTCTGTTCATTTGCAATATTAATAAGTAGCAAATAAATAACTTGAGATTAAAATTCACGATTATTTTACCATTTTTATTCATTTTGACCCAATTGAAAATAATTTTGCAGAGTTTAACATTTACCATTTCTTGAATAATAACCCATGATTTTTTTTTCATTTTCTAGCATTTCCACTAACTAGCAAATAATTAATTAGTTGAGTTCAAAATTCAAGATTTTAATGAGCTATAACACTATGATTTTTTTCTTTTTTTGTTTGTTCCTACAAGTTATAGTAATTAACTTGAGTTTAGAATTAACAATTTTAATGAGAAATAGCTCTCAATTCTCGTTGATTTTCATTTGTTTAGACCTAATTGAAAGTAATTTTTGGAGCTTAAAATTACCCATTTAATGAGTAGTAACCAATGATTTTTATTCAGGTTTGTTCATTTCTACTAACCAAAAATAATTAACTTGAGTTCAACATCCATGATTTTAATGAGCTATAACTCACATTTATCAATTTTTATTTATTTTGACCCAATTGAAAATAATTTTTGCAAAGTTCAAAATTTATAATTTCTTGAGTAATAATCCATGGTTTTTCTTCATTTTCCATCGTGTCCACCAGCTAGCAAGTAATCGAAATTCAGGATTTTAATAAGCTATAATTCCATGATTTTATACATCTTTGCCACCAAGTAGCTAATAATTAAATTGGGTTTAAAATTAATAATTTTAATTAGAAATTACTCACAATTCTTGAAATTTTCATTTGTTTAGATCCAATTGAAAACAATTTTGCAGAGTCCAAAATTAACTATTTAATGACTTATAACCAATGATTTTTATTAAATTTGTTTATTACTACTAACTGGTAATGGTTAAATTGAGTTTAAAATTCATGATTTTAATGAGTTATAATTTACATTTGTCAATTTTTATTCATTTTGACTCAAAGAAAAATAATTAACTTAAATTCAAAATTCACGATTTAAATGATTTTTTCCAACTTCGTTCGTTTTGACCCAATTAAAAATAATTTTGTACACTTCAAAATTCAGCATTTAATAATTATTAACCAATGATTTTTTTCTATATTCATTACTTTTCACCAAGCGAAAAATAATTACCTTGAGTTCAAAAATTCAAGATTTTAATAAGCTTTAACTCATGATTTTTATCAATTTTTATTCATTTCAATCCAATTGAAAATAATTTAATAGATTTCAAAATTCACTATTTCATGTTTAATAACAAAATATTTTTATCCATTCTCATTCATTTCATACAAGTAGCAAATAATTAACTTGAGTTTAAGACTTTAGATTTTAATGAACTACAACTCTCAAATTTTTTATATTTTTGCTAATTTTGATCCAATTGAAAATAGTTTTGCAGAGTTTAAAATTCATCATGTCTTGAGTAATAACTGATACTGTTTTTCATTTTTATTCATTTTTACCAGCTAGCAAATAATACGAAAGGGATGCCTTCCCATTAATTAGGGTAAGAATAAAGGTCTCGTATTCCTCATCAGGTAAGGAACTCAACAACCGCAACGCCTTATCCTCATCTTCAATCATAACATCCACATTCACCAAATTCGTAAGAAGCTTCGTGTAGTGGTTCATGTACTCACTAATGAAGATTCTTTTCTTCAATTGGAATCGATAAAGCCTCATTTCAAATACAAGCGGTTCTCCACACTCTTGGTCAAATACTTGCTCTCAAGGGTCTCCCAAATCTTCTTTGCAGAAGTCTCATTCATCACATCATACTTTAAATCTTGTGCTAAACAAGACCTAATAACTCCACACGCCGTTTGATTTATCTTCTTTTAAACCTTCTCTTCAATATCACCTGACTTGCCATCTAACTCCAAAGTATCCTCCAAATTTTGCGCGTTCAGTGCATCCAAAACTTCGTATCGCCAAAGTCCAAAGTTGTTCGTGCTATTAAACTTCTCCACATCTATCTTCATAGAGTGCATATTCAAACTTTGAATGGTCTTCACACCAGAAGTACCACCCTCAACACCTTCTTTCCCGACCATATTTCTCAACACACCAACAACCAATACGGAACAAACTGAAGAATAGATCCAAACTTAAGAAAGATAGAGTCTTTACTAAAAAGATCCCACTTTTATCACCAAACGAAACCCTAGAAGAACTTTCAAAGCGATCTACTCCTCCAAATAGTCCAAGCGTAGCCCGAGCTTTGAT